AAAAAAAAAAAAAAAAAAAAAAAAAAGGCATTCAGGGCAAGATTGGGTAAATAGGGAGGGTGGGGCACGGGGGTCATGCTGTTTTTGGTCAAAAACTGCTTAATATTCCGCGTGGTGTGGGCAGGTACGCTCATAAATCACTCATCATGAAATGGACAAACGTGTTGAAAGAATCTCCAAAAAGCCGGGCTGGGTGGCTACTTGGAAGGCTGAAGCGGAAGGATCGCCAGAGCCCAGCAGGCAAGGCTGCAGTGGCCGGGAGCGGCCACTGCACTCCAGTCTGGGCGACAGAGTGAGACTCCAACTCAAAAAAAAAAAAAAGAATCTCCAAAAAAAAAAAAAAAAAATTTACCTAAACCGAACACAGCCTCTCACATCAGTGCTAGCTGGTACACTGTTGTCGATGGGTTCCTAGAACTTTTACCTTTGAAGGAAGCCCGTACTACAAGGGGCCGCCCTCCAAAAATAATTTTGCTTTTTTGTTTTTTGCAGGGGCCCCTCATATGTTACATTATATGGCATTATATAAATGATAGTACATAATTATATAAATGATTGATTTAAGGATCTTGAGATGGGGAGATTATCCTGGTGACTTGGGTGAACTCCATGTAATCACAAGGGTCCTTGTGAGAAGGATGCAGGAGGGCAATGTCAGTGGAGGAGGTGATCACACGGAAACAAGAGGTCAGAAGGCTGTGGCCACAAACCAAGGAGTGAGGGTGGCCTCTAAATGGGGTGAGGCAAGGAAAGCACATTCTTCCCTAGAGGCTAGAAGGAATGCAATCCTGCTGACACCTTGATGTTAGCCCAGTGAGATCCATCTTGGACTTCTGCCCTCCGAGATCCATCTTGGACTGCTGCCCTCCGGCACTGCAAGATAATAAGTGTGTGTTTTTGTTGTTGTCGTTGTTTTGAGTAGGGGTCTTATGCTGTTGCCCAGGCTGGAATGCAGTGGCATGACCACAGCTCATCACAGCCTCGACCTCATGGGTTCAGGCAATCCTTCCACCTTAGCCTCCCGAGTAGCTGGGACTACTGGCGCGTGCCACCATGCCAGGCTAATTTATTTTATTTTATTTTTTGCAGAGATGAGGTCTTGCTATTTGCCCAGGCTGACCTCAAACTCCTGGACTCCAGCAATCCTCCCACGTCGGCCTCCCAAAGTGCTAGGATTACAGGCATGAGTCACTATTCCTGGTCAACATTAGCTATTTTAAGTCCCCATGTTTTCAGTAATTCAACAGCAGCAAAAGGAAGCTAATATAATAGGGTATCTACAGGCCTAGACCTGATCCGTCGGACCACACAGTGCTACAAACACCACACACACGCTTACACACACACACACACACACACACACACACACACACACACACAGCCTATCTGATCTTCCCAATTCTGCCCAAAATACCCCCTGCACAACCAAACCCAGTAGGCGCTGGCTACATTCATGACTGTGGGCCCACCACAAGTTAAGCACAACCTTTTCCCTGAGGGAAAGGGCTTCCTATCGAGGACCAGGATGCATTTCTTTAAGCCCAGTCCAAGGCCTCCACAGACCAGGCCCGCACCAGCACGCTGCCAGACCTGAGCCCCAAATCCGGTGCACAGAGGCCTCAGGCCTCCCTAACAACTCCGCTCCTTGGTGCTCTGAATGCCGAAAGGCTCGGGGCAAAAGCTTCCAGGCTCCAGCTCTGGAGGATGTCCTGCTCTGGAGGAGGTCCTGCTCTCCACCTGACAGGACACAGGAAGAGTCCAGGCGGCAGAGGCTGGGTGATAAGGGGTCCCCATGGCAGCCACATTTGACTGTTGGGGAAACTGAGGCCCAGAGAGGGGTGGGGATGGGCTTAAGACTGCATGCGTCAGCCGTTAGGGGTGAGACCCCGGGGCTCCAGTAGAAGTTGGGGCGGTGCCCCGGTGGAGAGGAAGATCAGATTTGGGGGTCAAGGCCAAGGGTGAGGTACCGGCGTGATCAGCAGCAACGCAGTGGGCGGGGCCTTCTAAAAGGCGGGGCCTAACGGGAGAGCATGCCGGGCACGGGGGCGGGGCATAGGAAAGAGGCGGGGCTTAATTGGGAGAGGCCGAAAGGTCTAGAACAGGGATGGGGAACATAGGTGAGGGAGAGTCGGAAGGGGTGGGACCAGACATGGGGGCGGGCCTATGTCGGGGGTGGAACTTGCACTAAGAGTGAGAAGGCGGGGCTCGTTAAGGTAGGTGCTGGAACCAGGCTGGGGGGCGGGGCTTAGAACAGCGCGTGCCGTAAGGGGCGGGGCCTGAGTGAGGGCAGGGCCGGGAGCAAAGGCGGGGCCTGGCTCGAAGGGGCGGGGCCGAGTGAGTCCAGGGAGGCCCCGTGGGCGGCTGGGTGGGAGGGGCATAAGAACCGGGCACTCGGCCTCAGCCCTATCTACGGCCCAAAGTTGGGTGGGTGCGGCGGGCACTTCCGGGTGAGACGGCGCGCATTTCCGGCCAAGATGGCGGCGTCCAGCGGAGTCAGGTGCGGGCGACTTTGTCTTTAGGAGCCGGCGGTTCGGGGATCCGGAGAGGTGAGATCCGCCCCGCTCCGGAGCCCCTCGTCGGAGAGCAGAAAGGAGGCTTGTTGCTAAGGAGACCAAAGGGAGGGGTTGTTGCTATGGAGGCGGGGCAGTGGGGTTGCTAAGAGACGAGAACGCAGTGGCGATGGAGGAGTGGGGTTTGCTGCCAGGGAGGGTGGGTGGGGCCTCTTGCTAGGGAGGAAGGAGGGGCTTTTGACTTTGGGGAAGGGTCTTGTTGGTGTGCAGTGAAGCGGGGTGCGGGCACAGTGGTCTGGGATCATGGGGGCGCGCCGAGCTCCTCTAAAACGCCACCTTCTCAGCAGACCCTCAGGAGTCGACCAGTCAGGACGCCAGAGCGGCCTCCACGGTGACCATCTTTTCCCTGTAACACCTTCTTTCTTCACGAACGACCATGGCGGACGAAGGCTCAAGGGGCAGCCGCCTCCCCCTGGCACTGCCCCCGGCCTCCCAGGGATGCTCCTCAGGGGGCGGCGGCGGCGGCTCCTCATCCTCAGCGGGGGGCTCAGGCAATCCCAGGCCCCCACGCAACCTCCAAGGCCTGCTGCAGATGGCCATCACTGCGGGCTCCGAGGAGCCAGACCCTCCTCCAGAACCCATGAGTGAGGAGGTAAAGGATGGGGACCCAAGAAGCTGGGGTGAGGGACCTGGGGAGACAGAGGTGTCGGGAAGTGTGACTTGGCGAGCTGTCGGGTCTCCTTGGGTGGGAGACAGGCGTCCAGGTGGGAGGCATGGAGACATTTGGGCTAGAAGGGGCCATCGTAGGCTGAAGGTCAGATCTCGGGAGTGGGGGACGCATCCTCTCCGGAGCCAGACGGACCTGGATTCAGCATTGTCCAGCTGTGTGACCTTGGGTCTACTACTTAGTCTTTCTGAGCCTCAAGGTCTTCATTTGCAAACTGATGGAGTTTGTGATAATAACAGGACTTCACAGGGCTGTTCAGAGCTTCTAGTCTAAGTAGGGCTGCGCACAGCGCCTGGCATACGGGCAGCGCTTCTGGAGGCAGCAGCCTGCTTTCATAAAGAGCATGGGCTCTGTAGACAGACTGCGTGGGTTTGACTTCAGGCTTTGCAGATGGCTGACTGTGTGACCTTGGGCAAGTCACAACCTTTCTGTGCCTCAACTTTCTGATCTGTGAAGTGGGGATAACAATATTTACCTTAGAGTTGTTCTGAAGATTAGTATTCATAATATCTATTATATGTGATGTTTAGTTGACAATTGCTGTATACAGAACATTGTGCGAGTAATCCACTTACAGACATGATGACATTGAACCTTTATGACAGTGAGGCAGGAAACAGGCAGAAAAACATTAAATAGCCCAAATTTATTCAGGACAGTGACTAACGAGCCCTCTTAAGAGTATTAACAGGGAACCCCCTCAGGTCCCCTCCAACTGTGGCAGCTTTTCTGTCCTCTCAATAAATCCCCCTTTCCAAAAAAAGAGTATTTAACACAGGGCCTGGCTAAAAAAAAAAAAACAAAAAAACCCAGTGGTCATTTCTTATCTCTCATCTCATTTGCACTAATATCATTTCCTTACTCTCCCCTCCTTTATTTGTTTTTAAATATATATTTATTTATGTGTGTATGTTCTTAGCGATGGGGTCTCACCAAGTTGCCCAGGCTGGTCTTGAACGCCTGGGCTCAAGCGATTGTCCTGCCTCAGCCTCCCAAAGTGCTGTGATGACAGGTGTCAGCCACTGTGTCTGACCTCCCTCCTCCTTGAGTCTCTGTCTTCATTTGGCTTATGGGACACCACAGGCTCCTGGTTTTCATCCTTACTCACCAGCCGGCCCCTGTGTTCTCTGTGAGTTCTTCCTCATTCTGCAGTTCTCAATGATGGAGAGCACCAGAACTCAGTCCTTGGGTCTCTTCTCTCATTCACATTTACTTCTCTTAAGGTGATTTCTTCTTGTGTTGAGGCTGTACCCTGGCAAGTCTCAAATTGACATCTCTAGGCCAGTAGTTCTCCGCTGGGTCCAGTTTTTCCCAAGGGACAGTTGGCAATGTGTAGAGATATTGGGTGTCACAGCTGAGGGGCGGGTAATACTGGCATCCAGTGGATGGAGCCTGGCATGCTATTTAACACGCTGTAGTACACAGGATGGCCCCCACACCAAAGAACTAACCCGCTCAAGAGACAGCAGAACTAAGGTTGAGATGTCCTGGTCTAGGCTGGGCCTCTGCTCTGAACTTCAGGCAGCCTACTCAGTATAGTACTTTGGCTGTGCAGTAGATCCCTCAGGGTGAACACATTCCCAAAGAGGTCTGTCTAATCTCGACTCCTCCCACTTCTGCTTTTTTTCCATCTTCCCCAGCTCCTTCTGGTTCCTCAAGACAGAAACTTTAGAGTTTGCTGGGTGAGGTGCCTCACACCTGTAATCCCAGCACATTGGGGGCCCAAGACGAGAGGATCACTTGAGCCCCGGAGTTCAATACCAGACTGGGCAACATAGCAAGACCTCATCGCTCCAAAAAAAAAAATCAGCCAGATATGGTGGCACGTGCCTGTGGTTCCAGCTATTTGGGAGGCTGAGGCGGAAAGATCGTCTGAGCCCAGGATGTGAAGGCTGCCGTGAGCTGTGATCATGCCACTGCACTCCAGCCTGGGGAGACCCCAGCTCAAAAAAACAGCAAAACAAAACAAAAAGCAGATAGAAAGAAACCTTGGAGTCATCCTTGGCTCCCTCTTTCTCTTCACCCCATGTCTCAGTAAATCATATTGGCTATCTTCTTATGATAAGGCCCAGGTCTGACCACTTTTCCCCATCCCTCCTTCCCCCAGGTCCACACCACCCTCTCTCCTGCCCCACCATGGCCTTAGCATCCTGAACTGCCCTCGCCTCCCCGCAGGATGTTCTCAACAGTGATGGACATGTCACCACCGCTCTGCTCAGAGCCCCGGTGGCTCCCCACCTCATTCAGAGGGAGCCTACATCTCTCTAGCAGTCTCCAAGCCCTGATGTGATGTGCCCTCTGCCCATCCCTTCTCCCTCGTTTCTCTGCTCCTGCCATACCTCGTAGCTCTTCCCTCTGCCTGGAACACTCTTTCCCAGCCATCTGCCAGGCTCCTGCTTTCTTTTTTTTTTTTTTTTT